CTTCTCTTCTAACGACTACGTAGACCCTAACTCCTACTCTCCTCGTCCGCCCTACGTACCCACTACTACGTCGTACTCCCTCCTCCTCCCTCGTTCCTACGTGTCTCTCTCTCTCTCTCTCTCTCTCTCTCTTCAAGCTAGAGACCCTATCCCATCTCCTGCCGCCCTAGCCCCATCTGCGCTCCCTCTCCCTCCTCCCTCCCAAAATTTTTCTCTCTCCATTCCCCAATTACAAGCCCTGAAGAAAACCCAAATTTATCTCTCTTCCACTTCCTCTAATGAATACATTTCCATATATAAAAGTAATGGAGCAAGGGATGGAAATAACCAGAGTTGGAGCCATGAATTGACTGGTTTCTACAAATAATAAGAAGTCTTGGACTGGACATTAGAGATAGTAGATAAATGGAGAGAGACATTGTTATGTTAGAGAGATCAACATGGGTTTCTCTCAGACTTAGAGAAAGAACATATTGGTTGGTTTGAGTGGTGAGAGAAAATGATATGTTAGAGCCTAGGAAGAGAGATGGGTTTCTAGAGAGAGGTTTGGGGAACGGAATGTGTGGCTTTGGAGGACAACACAACAAGCATTCTCTCATCTTCGACGGGCTCTTGGATAAATGGCTATTTGGCCCCACCAAGTTTCTCTCTCTAGGCTCTCCTGGCTGGATACAGCAAAATTAGAACGAGAAACACTGCATTACTCTAAGTAAAAAAAGAAATAAACAGTTATAGTGTCCCATTCTCCACCTGATCAGGTAATCGGGGGCAGAAGGCCCACATAATTTCTCTCTCTCTTTCCCTGTTCTCTCTCTGTTCTCTTTCCTTGTTATGATAATTTTACCCTAATAAATAGGTTTGAAAATAATTACAGGCAAAACTAATGCTCATCTGAGAAATGTTTCTTCCAAATGATCCAAATAGTAAAAATGGATTTTCCAGGTTGCATCCATATGCCATCTAAACTGCAGAAATCTATTTTGCTGGAAATACTTTTTCCAAGAAATACATTTGACAAGTAATAGATTTTTCTAGAAAATGTATTTCTAGGGATCCAAACAACCCCTAAAAGAATTATCTCCACCAGATATTTTACAGGCTCACTGAGATGAGTTTGAGTGGGTCGGAGTGTTTAGTAATGGCTAGCAATTATAGGAGCGTTGCAGATTAACACAATAATGCATGTGCGGTAAATTTACATATAAGAGAAAACTAAGCCAGAAGTTTCAAAAAAGAAGCTCCAAAAGCAAAAAACTGTAGCAGGATTGTATTTAAAGAATAAAAGCAGAGATCATTATACTAAATCATTGGGGTTTGTGTAGCATTTCTCAAACAAAATATACTATCCTTCAATCAAAGAACATGATAAAAAGTCATTCGTGAACTCATTTTGAGGCTTGTGCAGAACCTCTAGAAGACTAATACGCATTACCTTTAACAGAAAATCTATTATACTGATGTTTCCCTGTGCATTTTCATATAAATTGTAATATATAATGGGACATCCTGATTGGGTTTTGCTTGTTCTTCCTATTCTTAAATATTCCGATTTGGGTGATCAATCCATTTCTTCCGAGAAATCAATTCATTTCAGGATATCAAGGTTTATAACTTTGCTGGATTGAAATGTGGGCAAAAAAAAAATTGCGAAATAAAATGTGGGGAAATTTTAGTGCGTGATAATCTTTGAATTATCCTCAAGCATTTTAGAGTGAACAAACAACCCACCTTCCAAGCAATTGTTCAACCAACAAAGCAACAAATACAAAAAGTAAAATAATAAAAAACCCATCTATCTCAGAAACAAACCAACCTCCATAACTATCACAAGGGCAGACAAGGGACACCAAATAGAAAACACGCAATCAGCGAATAAACCTAGTTCTGTGAAAAAAAAAAAGCATTGAATTTTCTGCTAATCATACCATAAACACAAAATCTTAGTTCCACAAAACCATAGTTCCGAAGAACCGTAAACTTTGAATTCCCTGGACGAACACCATGTGTCGAGACCCGAACCTAGCATTGGCGGAGAGAACCTTGATTTTCCAAAACCTGTGAATTCCCTGGACAAACACTATGTCCTGGATCCCAACCTAGGAGAGAGAACCCTAATTTCCCAGAAACACTGAAAAACTACTAAGCTTATTCCTCAAAAAACCCTCATTCCCAAAACCCAGCTCAAAGTTACGAAAAAAAAAAACTCATTTTTTTTACATACCTCTGGTGGCAACTTGCATCTCTCTCTTACTTGTTCTCAAAGCATCTGAAACCAACAAAAATTTAATATAATTAACCAATGCATATCATAATAAACTAAAAAACCCAATAACTAGGGGCAAATTTTAAAGAAAAATACATCAGAAAATTCTAGAGACGGAACCAAGAAAAAGTTAGAGCAAACACATGGAAATGATCCAAATCAAGAAGAAGCCCTAGGGAGAAACTCGAAAAAAGGGATAAAAATGAGAAAAATCGGTGAAAACCTTTGGCCGAGGGTTTCTTCTTGAAGATATTCATGGCGTTCATCCTTGAAGCGACAGTATTGAGTTATCAGAGGGCAGAAACCAGATGGAGAGAGAGTGGGTGCTCTCCTTATATGCACTCTCTTCAATGGTTTGATCTTTCTCTCGCTTCAGCGGCCTCACTTTCCAAAATAGCCGTTATAAAGTGGGGATGAGTTTTGGAAAAGGGCAAAAAAGTACACATCTATAATTCGAGCTGGATTTTTTTTTTTTCTTTTCACCGGTTGTTATCCTTTCAGGAAAAAAAAGAAGAAAAAAGCTATTTACTTGACAATGGTTTTAGAGTCAACGATATATGCCATCGATCCAGATTTTGAAACATCGCTCTCAAAATTCTCTCTTTCTCCCTCTTTCAGTATTTGGAATTTCTTCTCTTTCATCAATCTTAGCTCTAAAAATTGTTGATTCCAAATTGAACTTCCTAAATAACTCACAACCAGCTTGATATTGCTTTCTCTTCTCTCTTACCTCTCAACATTGTTTTAGAACTTGCTGATTTGGATGCCTCGATCACTCACAACCAATTTTTTAGGAGAAGACTTATTTGGGAGGATTTTTTTGACATGAAATTTTGGGATATATCTAAGCATCAATAGATTATTTTCATAAAATATAATTTAGACTTTGAGTTCTTCAATACTTAGATATTGCCCCTTTAGAAAATGTATGGTCATTGTTCAATCGTAGGAGTTCATTGCTTTTAGTCAGGATATGACTCCGATAATGATGATAAACTTCCATATGTTTTGATCGAATTTCAAAATACCTAGTCTTTTGTTGGAATAGTCTCAAAATGATAAATTGATAAATAGTCGATCTCTTGTGTGTATCTTGATAAAATTTCTTTGATTTTTTAGTCCTTTGAAGTTAGTTCTGGTTGGGTCAGGTACGAGACAAATCACATTTAGGGAAAAACCATGAAATCTTCAAAAACAATATTTAACCCTTAAATCGGGTGCAAAGGCATAAGCAAAACCTATCTAGGGTGGGGCCTTGCCATCCATCTATAGAGGCTTGAGTAACCCACCATTTTAGCCAATGGAACCATGCTCAGTATGCAGTGGGGGGAGGCTTTTTAGTTTTTTATCTTTTAATTCTCCAACCCATATTTTTAGGAAAATTATACAACAAGACAATTCATCTTTAATACTTGGTAGTCACAATAAATCTTGACCGTTGGACGTGAAATTAGATGATTGCATCTATTCTATTGACCAAATTCAAACATAAAAAAAAAAATCCTCAAACTTTGTGACACACTCTGCTGTCAGATTTCATATCAAATGGTTGTAAGTGATTGTGAGCTCCTTATATCAAAAGTAAATGGTCTCATAATATACAATCTTATATTTCTATCTCATCCGCCACTTAAATAAATTTATAAAAGAAAATGGATTTAGAACCTCACAAGAACCCGAATCTATTAAGTTCCGGATCGTCCATTTTAGTGGGCAATGTGCTTTAGGGGTTCTCATGGAGCTCCCAAATAAATCAAATTCATAATCGATTTATGAGGTCTCTGAAATATTTTTGTATCTCCCAGGTCAAGCAGCAAATATTGAATTTTTTGTGGGCTAAGCATCAATCTTGGTTGATTAGTTGGAGCATGTTATCATTTCCTTTCTACAAAAAAGGATTTCAAATCTCAGCTTTATGAGGGGGTGACCTGGATTCCCAAACAAAATCCCCTGATAGGATTCTTTTAACTGATTCTCATTGGTTTGGTATTTGGATCTCCAAGTCAGTAAAATGGGTAGGTGATCCAAAACCCAATTTTGGCTTCTAAAACTATAGTTCAAAATCTTGGAAACTTCTTTAAGAAACTCCAACAAAATAGATTTGTCATTATAAATGAATGTCTTATGAGATATACATGAAATAAAATGGGGTTACCTACATGAAATGTAGAGGTTGTAATGGATCCAGACCCTACCAAGGTTCAGGTATGGGTCCAAAAATTGGACCCAGCGAGTTAGGTCTGGGTCCAAATATTAGACTTGAACACTATTCGGGTCTTATTCCAAGTCCATGTGGACCTGACATGGACCCGACCAAAATAATGTTATTATTTAAAGGGAAAATTACATATATATATCCGTTATACTTTGTGCTATTACAGTTGTACCAAATAATTTCTGTTATTACATGTCTGTCCATTTTTCACATTTTATAGCGTATTTTTTTTAAAAAGATGACTTTACCCTTTTTCGAGTGTTGAACAAGGGTTTTTTGGATATTCAACATCCGAAAATAGCCCCGAAAGTTTAACGTTCACATTCCCATTTTTTGATGTTGAACATCTGAAACCATTTTCGGATGTTGGACATCCGAAAATAACATATTTTCGGATGTTCAACATCCGAAAATATGACTGCGAAATTCCAGAAGGTTTCGGGCTATTTTTCGGAGAACCGAAATAGGAATGTGAACATTAAACTTTCGGGCTATTTTCGGATGTTGAACATCCGAAAAACCCTTCAATTCGGTTGTTCAGCATCCGAAAAAAGGTAAAGTAGTATTTTTAAAAAAATTTGCACTATGAAAGGTAAAAAATGGACAGACATGTAACAACATAAACTATTTGGTATATCCATAATAACGCAAAATATAATGGATATATGTGTAATTTTATATTATATAATCTATACTATTTTAATAATATGTAATTAATATTTAAATAAATATAACTATATATTTTTAGCCATAATATTTAAAATAAAAAGTTGGTGTGGGCCCACTAGCTCACAACTACATATGAGCTCAACAGCCCAGATTCAATCTGGGTCAATCTGACGGCCACGACCCTATTTTGTATTTGAATTTTAATTTTTTTTTCTACAAATTCAAATTACATGAAATTTTAAGTGTCCATTCTTCTCATCAAAGTGCAACCAATAAAAATATTAAAAAATAATATGCAATAAATAAAGTGACCAAAATATCCTTACAAATTTTTGTGGTTATTTTGGTCAATTTATTTCTTGCAAATTATTTTTTAAAATTTTTTATTAGATTCTTATATTTCTAAAGAACACACACCCCAAATTTCAAATGATTTGGATTTGTATAAACAAAATTAAAATTAAAATGCGAAACAGGGTCGTGGCGTTTAGATCATCCCATATTGAATATGAGCTATTGGACTCATATGAGCTGGTGGACCTATGTCAACTTTTTCCATATTTAAATATTACATGTATATATTTAATATAATATTTTAATTTATTTTTATTTTTTTTAGGTCAGGTCCAATCAGTATGGGTCCTGTTCTGGACCCGACCTGACCCGTTGCCACCCCTAGTTGACTGGTGGGTGTAGTCTAACTTAGAAAGTCTCTTAAAATCAAGTTGACCATTCAAAAATAATGGAAAAAAAAAAATCGTAGGTTGAGATATATGCATAAGGATATGCTTTTAATTGTATGTGTGCAAAGAACCTTTCATGCTTTTTCCAATAAATGAATATACTAGCCCTTTTTTAAAATCAGTTACTATGAATTTCACTCGCCCATGAATGATTACAAAGAGGTTCAAGAAGAAAATGATATAACCGCCAATGAATATTGGTGCACATTACGCTTTGCTAAAGCATCATCTTCTATATTAGCCTCCCTAAAACAATGAGATAACTCAAAATAACCACTACTTAAAAGGAAAAAAATTTCATCAAAAATGCTGCATAATCTCCAAAATGGCTTCATTTCTCATTTTGCCCAAGCAATTATTGCTTGAATCACCTTTGATCATCTTTTGGCCCTCAAGGTTCTTTATTATTTTTAAACCCTCTAAAAGAGCTCTTGCCTTAGTTCCATTCACTGTTTTATGTCCACATGATCTCGAGTAGGTGAATTTGTAATTACCCATATGATCTCTAATGGTACCACCATAACCTGCTGGCCCTAGGTTTCTAATCGTGCTTCCATCAAAGTTGAGTTTTAAGCAATTTTCATGAGGAGGCATCCAAATAGCATTTCGAGTATGTCTGTCATTATTAAGCTTAGCAACTTCAAATGGATTCTAAAAATATGTGATTTTGGGATAAACTTACAATCTTTATTTGTTGAAAACTATTCAACTGTTGTTGTTAAGGTGCTGGACTTCAATCTCACTTTGTGTCCTTTCAAATGTATTGTATTATCTCTTTCTAAATAGTAATGATCCTACAAGACCCTCCCCTACCCATGTGTATAGGACCCCAAAGGATCACCATTAAATTAGGTACAGATCTCTAGAAAAGTTATCACATGAGTGTGGGACTTAATTTTTTTAGTGATCCGTGCTAAATTTAATGGTGATCCTTTGGGGTCCTACACACATGGGTGGGGGAGGGTCCCATAGGATCATTTCTCCTTTCCAAATATTCCAAAAAGTGCTAAACCATAAAGCTCTCCATAGCACGGTGTCAATTTTCGACAAACCAATGTTCATCAATTGAGAGAGGATCAACTCTACGCTTTGTGGGATCAGGATATTTAGATTCAACATCTTTCTACACCAATCCCACATGCTTAGAGTGAAATGACAATGTAAAAGAATATGGTCTACAATTTCATTATCCCTCAAACATAGCCTGCAAACATTGACAATTATGAAACCTCTCTTATGAAGGTTATCCATAGTATGCAGCTTTTTTTAAAGAGCTATCCACAAAAATAATTGAACCTTCAACGACATCTGCAAATTCCAAATTCTTGTTAAACTACGATTAATCACTCTGTGATTCTCCTTATGCAGCAGTCGATAGACATATTTAACTGAAAAATCTCCTGAAGCTATGAGTTCTCACACCAATCGATAATCTTTATTAGGAACATAGAAAAAATTATGCAACAGATTCATAAGCAATTGTACCTGATGAAAGAAAAAAATATGAGACCCTCCTGTACTTGCAAACAATATTCCAATAAGAGTTAGTAAAATCAGCTCCTCGTAGATCTTTCACTGAGGTCAATGGATTGTCGACTTTGGAGAAGATCTCAGGGAAAGAATCTCGAAGAGCAAGGTCTTCCAACCACTTATCAATCTAGAACAAAGTGTGATCTCCCTCCCAACCACTTTGCGACAATGACTAAGATATAATAATTGGCACACATCAATTCTTTTTCAAATACTTGAAAAATCAATCTTAGATCTTGGACTTTTAATGAGGCCAATCAATATATATACTCCATATATTTTTTTAAATACCTCTCCCCATAAGCTATCTTGCTGATTTTGGAATCGCCACCACCACTTAGTTAATAGACAAGTATTCATAAAACCCCGTCTTTTTTGGAAGTACATACCTTTTCTCAATTCACAAGTTTCATCTTTTTTCCCATTCCTACATTGCTCTATAAAAAAGATCTCATAATGTTTTCCAAAGTCTTCACAACTTGCTTTGGCATTATGAAAATGGACATAAAATAGATGGATAAGTTGGACAAAGTAGAGCTGATAAGAATATATCTTCATCGAAACGACAACACTTTAGATTTCCATAGATCCAGTTTCTTATTAAATCTTTCAATAATAAGATCTCAAATAGCCGTCGATTGATTTCCTCCTGATACAGAAATGGCCAAATATTTACAAGGAAAGTTGCCCAAGATGACACCAAGTTATCTGAAAGTCTAATCCCAATCAAATTTGTCTTTCTAAATTCACTTTGAGACCTGTTGCTATTTCCATACATTTTAAGAACACCCACAAATTCCTTACTTCTTGTTCCTCTGAGCTACAAAAGATAATAGTATCATCTACATATTGTAAGTGAGAGATTGTTAGTCTACCAACATTAAATCCAGAAATAAGGTCTCTACTCACCACATAATTCAGCATAGTACTAAAACTTTATGCCATAATAGTATTAAGTATGGGGATAAAGGATCTTATTGCCGAATGCCTTTTGATGCTTTAAAATGACCACAAGATTTTCCATTGAAAATGATGAAGAATTGAGTTGACTTCAGACATCCCTGGATCCACACTCTCCAATGTGATCTAAAACCCATCTTCTCTAAAGAGCTGTTTGGATACCTGGAAATATATTGTTTGTGAAATATATTACTGCGTAATACATTACCTGCAAATGAATTGTTACTGTTTGGGTAGTATTTAGATGCAACCTGAGAAATACATGACTACTGTTTGGCTATATCGGGAAGAAATATGGGAAGTGCATTATCAACATTTTACGAAAACTTGCCTGAAAACTATCATTTCTTCTTTGTTTTTTTTGTCATAAAATTCCACTGAAATTTGGAATTAAAGTCATCATCACATCATTCCAAAAATATTTTCTAATAATAACATCATCACCATTCCAAAAAGATTTTCTACTAATAACATCATCATCATTCAAAAAAGATTTTGTAATAATAACTTATACCATTCTAAAGTCATCATCACACAATTTCTCACTTATTTTGTATGCCTTTGGCACTTACATGGAATCACATGTCTTCTAACATGATTAGACTTTGCTTTCAACATGATAAGTCATTGGAATAATATGATTGGAATAACAATTTTTTATTGTAATAAGCCTTATTTTTATTTATTTATATAAAAGTCTTTCAAATGTCGATCTATATAATTTCAAATAAGCAATAAATTTATGACGTCAAATTAAAAATCTTTATGATACAAGTAAAAAACTGGAAGAAGTTTGATTAGTAAACTAGAAGGTTTGGTAATTGCAGTAGAAAATTTTGAGGTATTGGAGAAAATTGAAGAGATATTTTTTTTCAATTGAGTTTGTACTAATCTCTTATGAGGATTATGTTGGGTGAAAGTTTTTATTATAATTGTGTTGTGTAATTTCTCATTGATTAGATATGTTAGAAGAATGGGTATGCTAAGGACAGAGGGAGAATGGAAAACGTCCAGATGAGAGAATAAGGGGCTTAAAAAACAAAAAAATTACAGATGAGAGAAAGGGGCTTAAAGATAATGGAGACTCAAAAAAAGAAAAAAAAGTACAAATGACAAGAAAGTGCTTAAAAAGAGAAAAATTACATTATACAAACCAATTATTAGGGTTCAAACGAGAGGGGAGGGGCATAAAGAGAGAGAAGCACCTATGCAAATCGAGTAGGTGGGTTGGTATTTATTAAAATGGGATAGGGCACAGACGGATGCGAAAGATTTCTAAAGATTATCTGTCAAATGCGTAATAGATTTTTCATCATTCACCTTACCTAATGTGTTTCATGACTTTTGAAAAAATCTCAGGTAATCTGTTTCTATTATCCCTCAAGCACATAATAGATTTTTTATCATTCACTCCTAATGTGTTTCATGATTTTTGGAGAAATCTCGGGTAATCTCTTTCTATTTTCTTACTATAAAGTGTACCAAACAGTAGAAAATGTCATATTTCCTCATAATCGATTATCATGTAATAGATTTCTAGGTACCCAAACGGCTCCTTAAGTGTCAGGTAGAACATGCCAATCCACTATACGCGTTCTCTCCATCTTGTCATGATTTCTAAATTTTTTTTTCATGAAAACAACTTTTCTAAAAACATAATTTCATGTAGAGCACAAATATTATCTTTATACATAAGCATATTTTACATCAACTCCCTCGGACCTGCTTAGGTCTTCACATTCAACCACATAAGAATCTTATTTTCGAAAGAAATTTTTTTCAATTTTAAGTTTTTTAACACTTGGATCTCGTCCTCCAAAAATTGGACGCTTGCTGTTCAATTTTGATACATATTTTCTTTCAAATGTATAGAGAGTGGCATTTGGATTTTTTTTTTATCGAGGTTAGTCAAGAGGCTACATCCCCAAAATTTGGATCCTAAAATTACTTTTAGATTGGGTTTTACTGGAGGGAGTAAATGTTATTCCTCAGGTGTATGAAATCTTTTGGTTTTCATAATTACCTAACCATCAAACAAGAACATAATTAATAAGAAAAGCATTTCTTTTGTGTGTGGTACTTGTCTGAATTTCTACAAAAATCCAATTTCTCTGAAATTCTCTGAGTAATCAACCATCTTTCAATAATTTTGTAATTAAGCAACCACTAGCCAATAACATATTCTTACAAATGCGTATCTTCTTGTTTGATAACTTGTCTGAAATACTTTGTCAAATTCTTTTGTTTGATAACATGTTAGGAACCTGCGTTTTTTTGGCAAATCTCAATAGTAATATGTGTTTAACCATGGTTAAGATAATTTAACAATTAGGGATTGGATAAACATAAACAATTTGTTTATTTGATATCAGTCATATGAACAGAGTTAAAATGAATGTGTGTGTGGAATATTTCTATTTGAAGGGAATTTTCCAATTTGGTATAAAGAGCAAGGACATGCACTTCTACTGCTTGTACGACTATTGAATTGCCCTAACACCCTCGATTTTTGTGGTCTTTTTTTACTAAAAGTAAATGGTCTTATTTATATGTGTTTCTTTATTTTTTAAGTTACATGTGTCGTGTACAGGCCCGGTCAAACAATTTATTCCTAGGATTCTGGAATTTTTTAATCAAATAAATGCTTGTTTGAGTTTATTGATGTGTGAAAACTATTTCAACCACGAAACCTTTTTGAGTTTGAACAACATGAAATGTAAATGGTCGTGTAGACCCCTGACCATTTCTTGCTTTATTTTGAAGAATAGAGGAACATATTAGACCGTTTACTTTTATTTAATTTGAAATATGTATTAGGCATTTTCATTTTAATTTTTTTATGTACATATGTTATTTGTTGTTCAGTCCAAACCACTTCTTAATTATCACAGGTTTTCCTTCTTGTTGTATTGAATTTTAAGGATATCTCATGATTTTATTTTAAAATAAATGTGTTTGGTACAACTATCAAGACCGGATCGTAGCGACCAGTTGGTCTAGTGACCCATGAGTTGGTTAGTTTGCTCACTAGCAAAACTCAGGTTTGATAAAAAATTTGACAATTAGATCAATTGGTTTTGAGAAATTAACTAAACATAATTTGACACGGTTTGATATAATATGTTTCGTACTTTGAAACTATAATTCATATTTTAAATTTTGAAAATCCGATTTTGATTGAATCATACCCCCACAAAGTTTGGTTTTTATTACACTAGTATTTCGATAGGTGTAGAATATCTAAGAAATTTTAATAGTTTCCACAAAATAGTATGCAATAGTAATTCAATTTGTGGTTATTACTATTATCATCATCATCATCAACATCATTATCTTAGTCTTATTCCAACTACTTAGGATCAACTACATAAATTATTATATTTAATTGAAAAAAAGTATTTTTTTAGGGGAAGTTTTATAAAACCACACCTCAAATATCATCTACTTAGAGTAGATTATTCACCTTAATTTAAGCACTATACTTTTCATACTTGTAAGGACATGCACATTTTGTGTGAAATCAACTCGTAATATTTAGGGAAAGTTCTCATGATAATAAGGGGTCATAGAAAAGAATAATGGCATATATTTACCTAATAACAAAGGCAAAATTTTTTATAAGATGATAACATTTCATGTACAAGTGAAGCTGTAGTAATTTATATCGTCCATTTTAACTTCACACTGATTTAAAAGACATTTTAGATTTTGATCGACATACTAAATATAGATAAGGCTATTTAAAGACATTTTGATATACATAAATTAAATCTATTTGGCTGGTGATGTGCTCTAAAAAAAAAAACCTTGTGCCTGCGCTAAATGTTGCTGGCTAGGCTAGTCCAAGGCCAAAGCCAAGACCCTTCAGCTCGTTCGGATCTAGATTCACACGCACCACCCTTCAGCTCGTTCGAAGCTAGATTGATATGCACCACCCTTACAGCTCGTTCTGATCTAGATTGACATGCGCCACCCTTCGGCCCGTTTGGATCTAGATTGACATGCACCAGGCTGCCCCAACCTATACATGAGCCTTTTGTCAAAGTGGATGGTGCAAAACACACCGATCTTACTTCGTAAAAGAAAGAAAAAAAGAAAAAAAAAAAAAAAAAAAAAAAAAAAACCCTACTAAGCCCAATTTTCAAACATTAGGCTTACAACAGATATTCAAATGAAAATTAGGGTGCTTAATCGATGTGCTAGAGTCAGATGACGTCACCAAACTATTTATAATTACATCGTTTAAGCTTTAAAGAAGAAACGTTTGTTTCGAACTCACGAAATTTAATATATATTTTTTATTTTTATATACTATTATCTTCGTTCGTTTATCCCTAATTTTGATAGATAATTAAAATCTCTTGCCCTTTCCAGTCTCGTCATAAAATACGCAAAAAAAAATCTTCCGATTTTGATTTTTTTCCTCTTTTGAATTCAACGAGGGCCATTTCTTTAATTCTCCGTGAAAATCCAGGGTTTCGATCTAGTTTCCCCAATTATTCGTTGAGATTCTAACTCGGCAGAATTCGTGAAATTTCGGTGAGAATCGCAAAAATTTGGCTGGAATTTCCATTATTTGGGTGAAGATCCTTGTTGCTCTGGTTTTCCGGCCATTATAGAGGTAAATCCCTTGAGTTTTGTGTTAAGTTTACAGTTTCTAGGATTTTTATGGTGGTTAATTTGTTGTTTTTGCGTTCTGTTGCATCTCGTACTTTTGGATTATTGGAATTCATAGTTTCAGCGGAGACAGCATTGAAGGGAAAAATCATGGAGAATATGTACTATTGGCAAAAACTAGTGCATTGTATAATTTGTCTCGGTTATCAGAGCTATTTTCGGTATTTAGTTTCTAAAGTTTGCAAAAATCTGCAATTTTTCGAGCTACGGATAGTAACCTGTTTTGCCGTATTTGGTATTTTGCGTACTTCTTATTCAAGTCATTGTCTGTGTTTTTATGCTTGTTCTTTGCTCTTAGGTGATACAGTAGTTTTCTTGAAGATGACACTGGCTTGATAGCGTTATGGATCCATTTTTCTTGTGCTTTTACTTCTCAATCCATTTCTGATATTTTGATCGTTCATTATGAAAAGGGAACCATGTTCTATTGTTATTATAGCTGAATCTTATGAGAAAATTGCCAAATTGTCTGCTTGTGGTGTGAAAATGTACTGCAAAGGACGCACAAACATAGATGCCTGAAGACATAATTTACTTATTCACTCACCTGTTTATGTATATGATATATTGGGATTCAAGTGCGACTTGGATGGTGGTTCTTGATATCCTTGATTTGATTGTCCATTGTGTCATCACCCCATATTTAACAAGAACTAGTAAATTTCGCTAAAATCATAAGTGTTGGTCGATAAACTGGCTCATTATGGGGAACCAATTTTGGATTCTCGATTTTTTTAATACCAACTAAATGAAATTGTTGCCAAATGCTATGGCCCTTAAGTATGAAGGATGTATATATTTTAAAGTTGGATTTGTTGCTTTTGAGGTTCTGAACAACAGTTAGAGAAATGGATAGGTGGTCTTGATTGATGAATTTGATCAAGAAAAGGCATTTCTCTACGTGGGTTGGATTTTTATTTTATCTTTCTACATGCTTGAGTGATGACTTGGATTAGCATATTTAGCTCTTTTATAAAGCTTCTTTCTTGTCCCATGACCCTCTAAAATGATAATGCGGTATGCCGAAAAGAGGCACAATTCGTGTCCTAGCCCCTTTAAACCATCTTAACACAAACCGGCATTCAAGATCCTTGCAGTCTTAAGGACGGTCTGTATGGCAGTGGACCCCTTGATCAGGTCGCTATTTAGTGGTTGCCATCTGGACTTGCACCTTTTAAGGTGAAGATTCTATCCTTTGCTGTCAAATGCTTGAGCCTTATTCAATTTGTTACTTTCTTTCTCATTGCTTCTCAAGAATGTGGCATCGGCAAACATAGTAGAAGAGGTTCTGTAGAGGCTTGCTATGGGCATGATTCAATAAATAGAAGTCCGCTATGATGCTGAGATCGGACTTTTAAATTAGATGGCCTATACAATGTGTCTCTTTTTCTTTGGATTCTTAGCGTGTTGGTTTGCTTTCCCCTTTAAACCTGATGGCAGGACTAGTTTAAAGTGGTCGCTAATAGGTCTGTAGATCTACTGGATCCACACACAGTACCCCGCGAGAATGAGGAGTATCTATTTTGATTCCTTATCGACTAATTTATTGCATTGCAAGTGGTCCTTGGGCATTAAGATGCCATACTGATGGAATGGCTTCTCGACTTGAGATCACATTTTGATGAGTCTTGAGTTACCTTGATTCAGTGACTAGAACTCTACGTAAAGGATGGTGCTAGAAAATCTTAACTACTATGTCTAGTTATATGAGATTTATCTGCCTTTGGCCAATCTGGACCTCAAAAGGGAATTAGATGAATTTTACCCCTTTGTGCATTTCGCTTGAGATATGCTGTCTAATGGAAGATTTTATCATGCATATTTCTATCTGTTGTTCTTTGTTTTTGGCCTGTCTAAGATTCATTTAGTGCCCTGAAGAATCTCAAAAGTGTCTAAGAAAGAAGCTCAAAAGTGGGGGAATGTAGAAATTAAAAGAGCTGATTTTGAAAACCATTGGATCTCCCTAGCCGTTGTAGATTAGCAAAGAAAACAAGATATGCAGCCTGGACCCCCCAGTGGAGGAGGCTGTGAAAAATTAAATTTTGGGAGGAGTCCTTGGGGCAGCCAGGTCCATCTGGTTTTTGGGGGATCATAACGGGTAAATTTTATTAATTTTTTGAAGCCTTATATCCAATTGTGATTCAAATCAAGCCATTGACTGACATGAGATTCCTGGATGACAACTGTTAGAAGGTAGCAATTGGAGGAAATAGTGTGATGTTGTGGGGAACCAACCAAAGCGAATGCCCATGGCATCCCCATAATTCTCTAATTTTTTTTCCTATCATTTGCAACCTTTTAATAACATTTAAGCTAGTGTATAAAAAAAGGCTGGCCCACCGCCTAAGTGCCCAAGGGTTCCTGTGCCGCCTCGCCTAGGCCTCGGCAAGGGTGTTTGGGCGCCAGTTCTTGGGCACCCGCTTAACACCTAGCCCTTGGCCACCCCAGGCGGGAGTAATAAGTTTGTCTCTGAGGGCATTTAGGGTCTTTTGACGCATGAAAAAGGGAGAAAATGATTTTTTTGGGGTATTCTAAACTCCCCAAAGTGAAAAAACTCAAGTCCTAAACCCTAAAAGGCGAATGTGGATGTTGATTAAATTATTGAATTGAAGAATTGAAGATCTCCTATTTTTTTTCTTGGGCAATGATTTCATGCAAC